TTAATCATGTATGGTTTTTTTCCCCAAGTTTTCAATACTCCTAAACATAATCTTAAATTGGGAGATTTCCAGATATTACATTTTGTCCTTAGGATATATAAGGTTTCTGACACTTTAAACACGAAATCTCCCAATTTAAGGTTATGTTCAGGGGTATTTTGTTGAATACTTAGGACTTTCATAAATATGACACGAAAAAAATTTGAAATTCGATATACGTTTCCAATATTCTTTTATAATCCCAGCTAAAACTCAGAAAAGAATTTTTCAATATCATTTTTCCTTCCTAAGATATTAGATTTTGAATAAAAAAACTCCATCTTACCCACAGCAATATAAATATTGTTTAATTAAGTTAAGCAAAATAAATATTTTCTGGCAAATATTGTTTCAATAGCTTGTGGATTATCTAAAAAAAGCTTTTACAAGCTGTGTCTACTAGAAAGATAACTAGTTATAATACGATGTATTTCAATACTAGAATGTATAAAAGTTTTTGAAAATTTAGTCCACGAAACTAAAACAAATATTATCTGACTTCTTTATTGCTTACGTTATTAGCCTTAATTTGTTACAAACAACTCTAACTTTTTTTGTAGACCCAAAACACCTCTTTTGGACATTTTTTAGCATTTCTGAAATGTTGGGAGACATTTTGGGAAAAATGATTACTCTCACAGCTTCTAAATTCATCTGCATCTTATGTAAATTGAGGTGGTTGTTTAAAGCTTTAGCTAAATTTAAATCCTATCATATTGCCAAATTTTTAACTATGAACCAAAGCTCGTTTCGTAGTTTTTAAGGAACTTACTTTTGAGAAAGAAATTAATTTATTAGAACTTAAACAATAATCCACTCGTCGTATTGCGTAATAAAAATGGCTATGGACATTTATGTTGTACATGTATCACCGATGCACCCACGTCTTCATCTCTACAATGGACCAGCATAGATGAAGCAGGTTTGAAATAAACTTATTTTATGCATTTAAATATAACTATTTAAACTTTTATCCGTAAAACATACTATTTAAGATCTTAGATAAAATATACTTACTGGTGGATGGCGTTTACTACATTTGTTAACCTTTAAATACGGTTGTTATGATTTTTCATCATGCTACAATCTCATCCAAGCGGAAAATAAACATCGTAATTAATTTTTCAAGAATTATGTAAAAACGCATGACTTGACACCCATTGTACATGAAAGTCTAAGAAAATAAAACAGCATGATAAACGAAATGATAAAATAATAAGCATAGTAACTAATAAAATTTTAATTTTAATTAGTTAACAAAGATTCCTCTGTGGAGGCTCTAGAAGAACGATTTCCATTCCTTGTTATCGTCAAAGTGACCACCTTCAGTAACGAAAAATATTGGTGCAACGGAGTTATCATTAAAGAAGACTGTGTATTAACGAGTGCCAACTGTGTCTCAGGAGCATTTCGTCTAGCATCCAAAGTTACTCTAAGTAGTCTTTCACTTGAAGGTAGTGATAAAAATGGGCGGACGATTTCTTTTCATGATATTTATCTTCACCCCAACTACGACCCGGTGTAAGATACCTATATTTATTCGGTCAAATGTAAATTTCACTGTTTTTATTTTTCCACTATTTTTAGGACTGGTGAGAATGACTTAGCAATTGTAAGATTAAATGAAACAGTAAGTTCTGAAAAATTAATTGGAATCGTGTCTGAAGTTACAAACACACAAAAGAACTGTGATGTTGGGAGTCCTTTATTGGTTGGATATCATCGTATTCATAAGGGCCTCAATATTATGGATTCATTTGATGTTCACATTATGAGCGAGTCTCAAGACAACAACAATTGTGAGCAGATGTTACATGAAACTCAACTCGATGTTGTATTGCGTGATTCAGAACTTTGTATAACGAATGACGAAGGAAAGCAGGTGAGTTATTAACAGTGCCTACGGTATTAGAAAAGTATTCAATGACAATAATGTAAAAACTTTTAGGTTTATATTACTGACATATTGGTGCAAAAACAATGTGGCAAGTACATGTTGATTGGACTGGTCACTCACAATAAAATTGTCACACGGGCTGGCTACTACATGAATTGGATCAACCGATGGATAAAACCAATTTCAACTATTACATCGTTTTGAGATCGGTTCATTTACCAGATTCAGAGAACAAGAATTTAAAAGAATCGGTGTGCATTTAAAATAAACATAAATCATTTAAGTAAATACAACGTTTATTCATTTCCAGAATATATATTTATACATTTGTATTTACATATGTCACCAATCCCACTATGACTTACCTAGATATAGTGCATATAAGTTTGCAGTCAAGTCAACACTGTTAACTTTTTTAGCAATTTGAAGAAAAAAATGTCAAGTTATCAGTACATATCTTGCAAAAGATAAATTTAATGAATTTGTGTCAAAGAATGAAAACTGCCTTATATACCTTGCTGTATGCATGAATATATTTATGTTCTACTCATTTTTTATTTATGTGATACATGATGTTAGTACAAAATCAATACAATGTCAAAATGGAACTAAATCATGCTTATATTAGTTTTAACTTATAGAAGTAGAATCCAAGTAAAAGATAATTTGCAGACAGTATTTTTTTGCGTTTGATGGTGAACATAAGGTTGTTTAAATTTTCTTGTCCTAAATTTTTCAAACTAATTTTTTGTGGTACCTCTAAGTAAGACATCATATTTTTGCACAATATATTGCTTGTATACTTCCAAACAGGGCAAACACTTACATACCAAATGGATATTATAAGTAACTAAAAATGTGTATTTGTTCCTAAAAAATTTGTATTTGTTTGGAGTCAAGAAAATTTTATTTGATTGTTCGCTTTAAACTTAACAATTATTAACGTTACCAGTTCTACAACTATTTTTTTTCCTAATTTAAAACGATTCAGCTATCGTCATTATTTAAAGCGTTAGGACAGAAAAAAAGGAAAAAAATTAAAATACAACTCAAAATATGTTTTCTGTGATCTATAAGGCCCAAACTCAAAGTTTTTCATACCACCAATTTATGTCTGTTACGAAGCTAGTAATGATTTATAATGTATTCTCATATCCTTGTTCACTGTACATTACATCATTTAAAGTATATGTAACGTTTAAAAATTTTTAGAATATCTATTTACACATGCATACGTCACCAATCCCACCACGACTTTTCTAGATTATGTATTCAAAGCTCGTGCTCGAAATGAAAAATAGGCAAATTGATGTTTTCAAGCCTTCGAATTATATGAAATGAAGGGGGTACCAGTTGAGTTTAAAGTAAAAATTGGTATTTTCATTCTGTTCATAGAGCTGTGAGAAATTTAATTTCTTAATGGCATATCTATTTTATTTAATAATAACAGTGGGTATATAGAATGTTTCATTGTTGAATCTTAATCTATAAATAAATTTAAAATCCCAAGAAATCAACAGAAATACTAAAAAAAAAAAAAAAATTTTCAGTGTCAAACGTATGAAAGTCACTCAATCATTATTATTACTTCTCATCCTTAATCATGTATGGTTTTTTTCCCCAAGTTTTCAATACTCCTAAACATAATCTTAAATTGGGAGATTTCCAGATATTACATTTTGTCCTTAGGATATATAAGGTTTCTGACACTTTAAACGCGAAATCTCTCAATTTAAGGTTATGTTCGGGGGTATTTTGTTGAATACTTAGGACTTTCATAAATATGACACGAAAAAAATTTGAAATTCGATATACGTTTCCAATATTCTTTTATAATCCCAGCTAAAACTCAGAAAAGAATTTTTCAATATCATTTTTCCTTCCTAAGATAATAGATTTTGAATAAAAAAACTCCATCTTACCCATAGCAATATAAATATTGTTTAATTAAGTTAAGCAAAATAAATATTTTCTGGCAAATATTGTTTCAATAGCTTGTGGATTATCTAAAAAAAGCTTTTACAAGCTGTGTCTACTAGAAAGATAACTAGTTATAATACGATGTATTTCAATACTAGAATGTATAAAAGTTTTTGAAAATTTAGTCCACGAAACTAAAACAAATATTATCTGACTTCTTTATTGCTTACGTTATTAGCCTTAATTTGTTACAAACAACTCTAACTTTTTTTGTAGACCCAAAACACCTCTTTTGGACATTTTTTAGCATTTCTGAAATGTTGGGAGACATTTTGGGAAAAATGATTACTCTCACAGCTTCTAAATTCATCTGCATCTTATGTAAATTGAGGTGGTTGTTTAAAGCTTTAGCTAAATTTAAATCCTATCATATTGCCAAATTTTTAACTATGAACCAAAGCTCGTTTCGTAGTTTTTAAGGAACTTACTTTTGAGAAAGAAATTAATTTATTAGAACTTAAACAATAATCCACTCGTCGTATTGCGTAATAAAAATGGCTATGGACATTTATGTTGTACATGTATCACCGATGCACCCACGTCTTCATCTCTACAATGGACCAGCATAGATGAAGCAGGTTTGAAATAAACTTATTTTATGCATTTAAATATAACTATTTAAACTTTTATCCGTAAAACATACTATTTAAGATCTTAGATAAAATATACTTACTGGTGGATGGCGTTTACTACATTTGTTAACCTTTAAATACGGTTGTTATGATTTTTCATCATGCTACAATCTCATCCAAGCGGAAAATAAACATCGTAATTAATTTTTCAAGAATTATGTAAAAACGCATGACTTGACACCCATTGTACATGAAAGTCTAAGAAAATAAAACAGCATGATAAACGAAATGATAAAATAATAAGCATAGTAACTAATAAAATTTTAATTTTAATTAGTTAACAAAGATTCCTCTGTGGAGGCTCTAGAAGAACGATTTCCATTCCTTGTTATCGTCAAAGTGACCACCTTCAGTAACGAAAAATATTGGTGCAACGGAGTTATCATTAAAGAAGACTGTGTATTAACGAGTGCCAACTGTGTCTCAGGAGCATTTCGTCTAGCATCCAAAGTTACTCTAAGTAGTCTTTCACTTGAAGGTAGTGATAAAAATGGGCGGACGATTTCTTTTCATGATATTTATCTTCACCCCAACTACGACCCGGTGTAAGATACCTATATTTATTCGGTCAAATGTAAATTTCACTGTTTTTATTTTTCCACTATTTTTAGGACTGGTGAGAATGACTTAGCAATTGTAAGATTAAATGAAACAGTAAGTTCTGAAAAATTAATTGGAATCGTGTCTGAAGTTACAAACACACAAAAGAACTGTGATGTTGGGAGTCCTTTATTGGTTGGATATCATCGTATTCATAAGGGCCTCAATATTATGGATTCATTTGATGTTCACATTATGAGCGAGTCTCAAGACAACAACAATTGTGAGCAGATGTTACATGAAACTCAACTCGATGTTGTATTGCGTGATTCAGAACTTTGTATAACGAATGACGAAGGAAAGCAGGTGAGTTATTAACAGTGCCTACGGTATTAGAAAAGTATTCAATGACAATAATGTAAAAACTTTTAGGTTTATATTACTGACATATTGGTGCAAAAACAATGTGGCAAGTACATGTTGATTGGACTGGTGACTCACAATAATATTGTCACACGGGCTGGCTACTACATGAATTGGATCAACCGATGGATAAAACCAATTTCAACTATTACATCGTTTTGAGATCGGTTCATTTACCAGATTCAGAGAACAAGAATTTAAAAGAATCGGTGTGCATTTAAAATAAACATAAATCATTTAAGTAAATACAACGTTTATTCATTTCCAGAATATATATTTATACATTTGTATTTACATATGTCACCAATCCCACTATGACTTACCTAGATATAGTGCATATAAGTTTGCAGTCAAGTCAACACTGTTAACTTTTTTAGCAATTTGAAGAAAAAAATGTCAAGTTATTAGTACATATCTTGCAAAAGATAAATTTAATGAATTTGTGTCAAAGAATGAAAACTGCCTTATATACCTTGCTGTATGCATGAATATATTTATGTTCTACTCATTTTTTATTTATGTGATACATGATGTTAGTACAAAATCAATACAATGTCAAAATGGAACTAAATCATGCTTATATTAGTTTTAACTTATAGAAGTAGAATTTAAGTAAAAGACAATTTGTCGACAGTATTTTTTTGCGTTTGATGGTGAACATAAGGTTGTTTAAATTTTCTTGTCCTAAATTTTTCAAACTAATTTTTTGTGGTACCTCTAAGTAAGACATCATATTTTAACACAATATATTGCTTGTATACTTCCAAACAGGGCAAACACTTACATACCAAATGGATGTTATAATTAACTAAAAATGTGTATTTGTTCCTAAAAAATTTGTATTTGTTTGGAGTCAAGAAAATTTTANCTTTTTCTCTCTCTTTCGATTCTCTCATTCGTATACCTTATCCTGTCGCTAGACTTTTGTATCCATATTTTTATTCGTTCAAAAACTTTCTCTTCCGTAATATTATATTTATTTTTGATCATTTCTAAAAAATATATATTAATTAATTGAAGGAACTAGAAATTATCTTAGGATGTCTTAAATTTAAATTGTTTACCGTTAATTATTTTAGGAAAGTTAAAAGAGTCGATGCGCAGTTTATTTTCTTTATGAATATTCCAAGTCAATTGGTTTGCTAGTGAATCTATAATTTTTTCCATTATATTTGCCACTTCCTTTTGCATATCACAACCACCGATGCTACTAATTTTTTCAATCTGTAAGAGAAAAGGCTTTTAAATTGTCCTACTAGAAGTAACTAAGCATACGTTAATGTTAATAATAACAGATATTTAAAAAAGGCCCATTTTTATTGATAAAAAGTAAAAAGTACACTTACAAATTGATTTTTTAAAGCCTGGTGCTCAACTTTGTTGAGATCACTGTCAAATTTTTTCAATTTATCCTTATCGGAAATTGGTAGCATTTAAAGAAGATTAAATGAAGTTAGCATGTTTTGTACAGCTCTTTGTCTACCGCCTGGTCCATGACTACGCATCATCATATGCTCAATATTTCTTAAAATTAATGAATTTTCATTTTGCTTTTCCAAACACTCTAATAATAGAGTTCTGCAAGCATCAATAACATAAATAATAGTAATTTACATATTTTTCTCAGTCGTACTTTTGCTTGCTCATATAACAAAAAAAATATTTACTGCAGCATGTTGTTTTATCATGAAGAGCATCCTTAATTTCGACGTAGTCTGTAGCTTTTTTGCTTGCTTTTGTAGATACCATATCAGAAGTTTTAGTTCAGATTTCACTACGTTCTTCGACTTGGAAATCATCAGGACTAAAATTCCCATCTTCGTCCTTTGGTATCTGCCCACGAAAGTCATCTTCATCAAATAACTTGTCTTCTAGAGAATCATAAGAAAATCTTCACATAATATCTTTTCTTAAATTACCTAAATGTTATACCTGATTTTCCAGCTGTCTGATCTTCATAGATATTCGATGAAGGTGACGCAGAGTTACTTTTTGAGGTAGTGGGTTGGTCATGGTGTATTTGTGGAACCTTTGTTCTTGCAAATGTATTTGGAGATTCCAGGGGTTTATTGCAAATAGTTTTAGGAGATTCCAATAGTCTGTTATCATTCAAAGGCTGGACGACTATAAAACATAAATAAATGAATCATACATTTGTAAATATATATTTACTAACAAAAAATCTATTACATAACCTTTTTTATTGGAATATGTAAAAGTTTTTTTCAAAAGTGAGTTTCCCAAAGATACTGGTGATGGCTCAATACAGGTTTTATTACCTTGAGGCTTGTGCTGTTTTTGCAAAAGTATTGATAGCATTTTTTGAGAGATTTTCATCTTTTTTGTTCCCGGTCCTATATAATAAGAGCATACATACATTAAAAAAACACAGTTAATTTATTTAATTGAAGAATCAGCTAATAAGCAGCATACTTTATATCTAGGGACGATTTATATACTAGAAGGACAAGATTATCGTATAAGTATTGCAGTATGTTTATAGTTGTTACCATAGCTTTAAGGCTCTTTAATTACTTAGCACCCACTAACGGACAAAGTACTATATCACCTTAAAGTGCCAACCGATTAGTGGGCCCAAAGTGTATCCTAGGACGTAAAGCCCTGTGTTCGAGTGCCAAAAATAATAACTTTTGTACCTGATGATATGTATCACCAGGGCAAGCATTGAGTCCGAAGAATAATAAAAAAAGTACCTTGTGCTTCGGAGCTTCTTTTGTTGCTAGCATTGGACATTAAAGCTTGCAACTCAGTCTTGCTGATAGTAATAGTTGTTATAGATTTTCCATCTGAATTTTGAGTCTTAGCAGAGTTTGTATTAGACCCAGACATTCTTGCTAGTATAGTTAGATCAATATCTAGATATATTTTTAAGTTATTGGAGCAGCAATGAAATCTATGAAAATAAGTTTGAAGTTTTTTTATTCCGTAAAATACTATCTATTTTAACCTCGACTCTAACCCTAAAAGTCTAATAAGAGACGATGTGCGGAAA